CAGGCAGAATTGTTATGACAAAAAAATACTGTAATTGTGGCCATGTGAGCTATGTTTTTTGTACATACCGTATATTACTAACATTGTGTTTACATGACGTAAAACCACACCCATTCATTCATTCATTTATTCATTCATTCATTTCTCTTCTCTTCTTTTCCTCTATCTTGTAATTTTCTCTGTCAACTTCTTTGTTGCGTTCCTCAATGTATTCAAATTAGGGCGGATCACCTACACCTTTTGATCGCAATTACGGCACCAAATCAGCAGCAAAGGCAGTGCATTATCTTATTGATCAAATTGAACAAAATAAACAGGAAGATGGTAAGTGTCTATTTAAATGTAGTGACATATCAAACAGGTGAACATCATATGGCTAGCTGGCTGACTTTTATTTTCAACTGTATGCCCTCTGCAAACAGATCTGACAGTAATTGAATAATAGACAAGTTTCGATTATTGGCGCCATCATTTGGGGGAGGGTGATTTCTAACTCGCTTAATTTATTCGGTGGTTCCCGGCATTCTCATGAGCGTTTTTGCAATAAAATCACCAGAATACACAAGTTTCTAAGGTATTGGCAGAACTCAAACTTGTCTATTGACCTCATACTATACATCTCTCTCGAAGACGTCCAGGCTTTGCAAAGGAACAAAAAGTACTAGAACTAGAATTGCCTGATAAGGTATGATGTAGATGCCCTGGTTGACTTACTTGAATAAATTTTCCTGTCCACAGATATAGCACCAACAAGCTAATGATGTTCATTTGTTTTATTGTTATTTTTTGACACTCAATTTATTATTGATGTTTTTGGTGCTAAGGGAGGACCACCCTCACCATTTGATAGGTGTTATGGAACCAAATTAGCTGGAAAAGCTGTTTATTGGTTAATATATATGATAGACAATCATAAGCTTGATGACGGTATGTATTCCTAAAATATGCCACCATATTCATATTATAGATAAAATGGCCACTTGTAGGTGAAATGGTTGATAATTGTGTTCAGTATTTCATTAATTCATTCATTCATTAAACTTAATTACAGCCACAGTTTCTCAACATTTTTGTCATTGCTTGGTGCTCTTTGAGGGAGAAACAATTAGCCTGGTGATTTATAACTGGTTCACTCACTAAAAAACATTAATTGGTGGTAGACAACATTAATGTAATGTAACTTAGACGTATATCTGATCATGTGAAATTTGGATGAAAAATCCATTTAAAAAAAAAATATGAACACAGCCCATATGCCACGAGTTAGCTAGTTGAACTTTGCCACC